ACTCTGCTACTAACATGCTGTGTGTGACTTTGGGGAAATCACAACAAAAAGTAGTAATCTGTGTTGCCTCATGGGCGTATTTATTGAGAGCTAGGTACTTGAAGGTCTTTAAAAATAAAGTTTCAGGGCCAGCCCATGGCTAACTCAGGAGAGTGTGGTGCTGATAACCCCCAGGCCACGGGTTTGGATCCCATGTGGAGACCGGTTCCCGCTCACTGGCTGAGCATGGTGCTGACAACACCACGCCAAGGGTTGAGATCCCCTTACCGGTCATCTTTTAGAAAAAAAAGATCCCCTTACCAGTCATCTTTTAAAAAAAAAAAAGTTTCAGATAGAAAATGTGATAATGTTGTAAGGTCCCAAACTGGTGTACATAGTCTGGTTTTTACATCATTGGCATTTATCAAACAATTACCAAGAGAATGAACATTTCACTTTCAGATTTCCATTAATAAAGCAGTTTTTGTCACTGGTACCTGTTCATAATTCTTTGTTACCAATGGTAAGAAATAGAGATGTAGACTCATTTTCAGTAATTAAATTTTTCTGATCTCAATTTTTTTTTTTTTTTTTTTTTTTTTTGGGTGGCTGGCTGGTATGGGGAACTGAACCCTTGACCTTGGTGTTACAAGGCTGCACTCTAACCAACTGAGCTAACTAGTCAGCCCTCAAATTTTCTTAAATTGCCTTTTCCCACATTTCATTTGTGTATAAATTTCCCTTTGGTATATTTTAGAATGTGATTTATGTTGGTTTTAAACTATTACTTGAAAGTCCTGGGTTTTTATCACCGATTCAGGATAATTTTTATAGCTTGTTTTCCTGCCATAGAATGGACTTGGTTTTCTTCAGGAAGGAAACCCAAAGTCATTGAGTCCTCCTTGGGGGTTGCTACAGAAACCCAGCTGAGGTTTCTCCAAGTGATGTTTTAGTGAACATGTTTAGTATAATGGAAACCTGTACCTGACACCTTAGAGGGACTCAAAAAGTTTTTTGTGAATGAATGTAAACCTTCCTTGGCAGTCTAGTGTCTACTTTTTTGTGAAATTTTAGGAATTGAGTGACCATAAAACATTTACTTTGGGCATTCCATTCAAGCCGCAGCTGCCTAATATCAAAGCTCCTTGTGCTGGGAATGGGGAGATCTGCCACTCCTCCAAGAGGACTGATGAAGTATGAAATTCTTAGTTTTCAAGCACACAGTTGCTAAAAGAACTCCTGCCAACAGCCAGATGTTGCAGGTATTTTTTAAATATCCTCTAGATCAATTCCCAATTATTTTCCTGTACCACCCCGCAGCATTTCTTAACAGCCCTTCCATCTTCCTTTTTACCCGCTCCATTCACAGGCTTATTCAAGGAAAGCCAACCAGTTCTAATCCACACATCCTTCCTCTCAGCATTGGGAGGATTTGGGGGAAAACTGGAGATGTGTAGAAAATAAAAAGCAGCGAGTTTAGGCAAGGAAACAGGAAACCTGTGACTCCATGAGAAGAAAATGTTGAGAAAGCTCAAGAAGCAGGGAGGATCTAATCTAATGCTTTGGTTTCCAACTTTTTTTTTTTTTTTTGGTGGCTGGCCTGTACAGGGATCCAAACCCTTTGACCTTGGTGTTATAACACCATGCCCTAACTGAGCCAACTGGCCAGGGCAACTTTTTTTTTTTTTTTTTTAAAGATGACCGATAAGGGGATCTTAACCCTTGACTTGGTGTTGTCAGCACCACACTCACCTAGTGAGCTAACCAGCCATCCCTATATGGGATTCAAACCTGTGGCCTTGGTGTTATCAGCACTGCACTCTCCCGAGTGAGCCACGAGCCGGCCCCCCAACTTTTTTTTAATATGTAGAGTCCTATCTTCAAAAAGTATCTTACACAGAAGTTATTTTGTATGTGTGTGTATTAAGTTGAACCATTATGAAATTGCGGGTATTTGTTTTTGGCAATTTCTTAATAACTTAAATGACTGACTACATGAGTATTCAGGCACTTGTAATCCTCTTAATTCTCTGAAGTAGATTCTACCATTGTAGTCATTTTATGTGTGACTGAATTGAGACACAGGGAGGTTAAATGTAACTTTTCAAAAGTCAGGTGGGCTGACCAGTTAGCTCCTTTGGTTAGAGGGTGGTGCTGTCCAGGGTTCAGTTCCTGTACTGGCTAGAAAGGTCAGGTGGTCTGCCTCCATCTTAACCTACGCTGTGAGTGAGAATGGAGCTGTGCAGATTGGGGGATGGGTCCTACTATCACTTGGTACCTCCCAGGAATCTCTAGGGCTCTATAAATACAGTTTGTGAACACTGATGTAGTCCCTTAATTTTACAGTTAAGAAATATGAATCCATAGAGAAGTGACTTGCTTACAGTCACACAAGTCAGTAAGACAGTATAGGATATCATCATACAGCAAAATTTCATAGCATCTCTAAGGAGTTTAGAGCACTGTTAGTATCAGACGTTCTTAGGCCAGGAGAGGCAGCTGATCCCTCATTTTTATAAGAATGGGTAAATTTAGATTACATAGCTTGCTTGAGTTCATCTAATGATCTACTAGTGGGGCTGGTTCCCTCAGTACACCAGGCTCCACAAATGGGAGTTCTCAATGTAATACATGGTACATGTTTTCTAGAAAATCATAAAATGTTAGGGTTGGTTTCTGTGTGTTTTCAGAGATTTTTGTATGGTGTCGATACCAACCCCCAAAGAAAGAAGTTAGCTAATTAGAAATGAGCTGGCTAAGGACTTGAATAATTCATTCTATAGCCTAATATCACAGGAATCAAACTCCTCTGAAATAGTTGTTTAATAAAATCAGCAGACCTGTGAAGATTTTTTCCAGTTGCAGCTCCCCCAATTTTCTTCCCATCATCCCAAATCAACTGATGGAGGAGTCATTCCTGCAGAACATGGCTTCCGGGCCGGCCCGGTGGCGCACTGCTACTGTGCGCCGCTTGGGAGCGCGGCGGCGCTCCCGCCGAGGGTTCAGATCCCACATACAGACCGGCCGCTCACTGGCTGAGCGAGGTGCAGGCGTGACACTGAGGGTTGCGATCCTGTTGCCAGTCACGAAAAAAGACAAAAAGGAAAAAAAAAAAAAAAGAACATGGCTTCCCAGGGGCTTCATTGAAACCACTCAAGCTCACAAAATGGCTGGAACAGTGTCATTACAGATCAGTGTGTGAACCGTCAGTAGCCATCTCTAGCACAGAAGCACTCTTCCCCTCCTCCCCCCAAGACTGTGTCATATTAAATGGATTAATAAGGACATATAAGACCCAGTATTCTCCTACACTATTTAAAATGTAAAGTACTATTTGCTGAAGTCTTTAGGTTTTTTTCCCTGTTGTGTTATTCCCTCCTTCCTTGGGATAGTACAGAAGGGCTAGAGAGCTTGATTTCAGGTAAGCATTACCATTTCTTACTCTAACTTCAGGAAAACCCTTTGTGGTTTTTGTTTGTTTGTTTGTTTGTTTAAAACATGACCGGTAAGGGGATCTTAACCCTTGACTTGCTGTTGTCAGCACCATGCTCAGCCAGTGAGCTAACTGGCCATCCCTATATAGGATCCGAAACCGTGGCCTTGGTGTTATCAGCACCACACTCTCCCGAGTGAGCCACGGGCTGGCCCCTTCAGGAAAACCCTTTGGACATTTAAGAGTTTCAGATTCTACCTCAACTGTATCATATTGGCAACAGAAGTTGGCTAAGAATCCAGCATTCTGAGTGTAATTACAGTTCACTGGAGAGAGGGTAGGCAGGCCTTATGCACATTCTAGGTGTTTAGTAAATTCTTGATGAATCAAATAGGATAACTGGTAAGATGAATAGCTAAGCCATTAATCCAGAAGTTATAAAGTGGTCTTTCAAAAGTCCTAAGAGATAGGGAAGAAACTGCTGATTGATTTGGACCTCCCCTTTAAGGAGATAGGGGTGTTTGGACACATTCGCAAACCCATTTATTGGGGTCTTTGAATACTAGGATGAGGAGTTTAGCTTTTGTTCTTCCTGTGACCAAATTTTTATCTTAAATCCCTCTTGATTAAGGCTCAAAGACTTAACACCTTCTTTATTCTGTTTTCTAGAGAGATGGTTGCCCAAAGATTGTCAATTTGGGGAGCTCTAAGACAGACCTCTTCTATGAACGAAAAAAATATGGCTTCAAGAAGAGGTGATTGGTGGATGGCCCCTTCTACCCCCCATCAAGCTGCTGCAGCTGCCAGAAAACACGCCTACAATTACCAGCAGAAAGGGAACAGAGCCCAGAACATCTCGAGAACTGCCTGCCAATGTCCCTGCACCTTGCCACCCTTTCTTCTCCCCTCACCCAGATGTGTAGTAGGAATGGAAAAGGATCCTTCATAGTGCACTCTGGCAGACTGTATCAGGAAAATTGATAGATTAGTTAGTAGTTTAAATTGAATTCAAGATGCAAGGCTCTGTTCTCCACATTGATATGTTCTCTCTACTCCAAGATCCTCTAAACAGGAATAATATTCCATTTCGGTCTTCTGTTTGAGGAGTTGACGTGAAGCTACCCACAGTGAAAAATGGGTTTTTGCTGCAGCTCTGATGGCAGTTGTCCTTGATGAACCTTCAGTGTGTGGTAGGGAGCTATCAAAACAATAAATATGGGCATGTAATATTGTAATGCTTACCAGGTAGTGCTGGTTTCATGTTATTTTTCTACTGAAAAATTGGAAACACTTTCTTTTGCCATAGTATTAATAAAGTTGGTGTTTATTTTCTGGTAGTCAGTCACCTTTCCACTTTAACACTAGGAATTTATTTTAGTCACCCTGGAATTTGTGATTCAAAATAAAGGTAGTGGTTTGGATCTACATACCAGCCAGTCACTGCACGCCTGCCCCCCCCCCCCAACAAAATAGAGGTAGTGGGATTCATTAAGCACCTTGTCCTCTTATTACCACTGGAAGGAATCCAAAACCACCC